ATGCGCGCAATTAGTTCTGCACAGCGACCAAATTTCATGTAGTTTGACGAATGGAACAAAAAGTGTGGGTGAAGAAGAAGGTGCGGCACCGTGGGTACATCAACTTCAATTCGTAGTAGCGATATTCTATATATTACCAATTTAGATTATGGAAACTTTTTTCGGTTTAGAGAAGAGGCATCGAATTTTATATAAATTAGTGAAATGCCCAATTCTAGGTAAACAGCCCCTAGTGGGTGGGAGCCACGAAAATCTTATGAACAACAACTTGTATGCAGCTATACGCGGAAGCTCAGCGGTCAGCTGTGGCCATGTGTTCGTCTACCGAGGTTTTGCCCCACGTTTAGGCAACGTGCGACAAATCCGTGGCAAAATGCTTGGTGCCTCGGGACGAGCCGAAGCAGCAGCAGCAGCAGCAGCAGACGCAATAGAGCAGGCTAAAGCTTCCCCCGCTGCGATCAAATTTTCAGCGAAGAAACGCGGCAGTCCATGGTGCTGCCGCCAAACCATTGGCCAAGGAATCGTTCCGTCAGCACGAGTACAGCAGCTCTGAGTACATCGCCTGGCCTGGTGTTTTAGCGCTTGTTGAGAACATTGCGGGTCACGGCAATTTGTGGTCCCGTCGGTCATTTGCCGAGTGCAGCAGTGATCGTGGCTTGACTAATGGTCACTGTTGCGCCAAGCTTTCAGTGCGAGAGCAAGCTTGCCGCAGGAAAAGCTGACCATTCCTGCATCGAGCCTTCCTGATTCGAGTCGAATGCTCGCCACCCAGAACGTCCCGCTACAATCTTCAGTGTCACAGATTTAATCGCGCTCATCTTACGAGAACTCCTGTCTCCCGCCTCAGGTTCATGCGCCTTCACGTCTGATTCTCAGTCCATCCCACTGTAAGCTCACTTGAATTGTTGTTCAACGTATGTTCTCTTGTACTTAGTCTTTGTTAGTCCTTTCTCCTAATGTTTCTTATAGAAGGCCTGCACGTGTTCTTATAGGAGGTTTGTACTTGACGCCATCCGCGAGGGACGCTTGGGGTGAGATCGTCATTTGCAGGTCTGCGCAGTCGCCGAACGCGCAAAAACTCGCTGCACGCGCTGTGTCCAAAATTCTTACGGCGACTTCGATGACAAGAGACATCCGGACCACCTCCTCGTTGCCTAAACATGGACAGCAGCCTCTCATAATAGATACTTGATGAATCTTGAACACGATGTGTTCTATACTGCCATTTTACACATCCAACATACATAGATCCATCGTAACATCAAGGCACATGTTCCATTATTGGAAGAAATCTCTACCGTTCATTTCTGTCGAAGACAGTGTCGGAATGTAACCACCTGACCATCTCGTAACAATCTTTATCATTTATTTTTGCCAGCTGCGGCATCCGAAATTCTATATACGCGAATGTAAGCAACACTTCTACGTTATGACGTCATGTTTTAATATTTATTTGAAACATAATTAAATATAATGAATAATAATGAAATAAACAAATAAACAGTTATGCAATAGTATGAAAAGCTGGACGAGTTGGTTTGAGCACAATATTGGAAACATTTCGACGAGCACACAATAGGTGAAAACGAAAGGCAAGAAGACGAACGGGCGCCCGTTTGTTTTCTCGCCTTTTGTTTTCCGTCAATTTTGTGCGTGCCGAAATGTTTCCAAATAAGAATTTCTTATAAGATCCGTCAGTAACAACATTTTCAATTTTCTGTGCTGGCTCGAGAGTCTTCGACGATTAAGTCCTCGCTATTTTTATGTTTAAATTATTTTACTAGCTCTTTATATACTCACCTCTATTCAGCTTATATACACTCTAGATATTCGACTTTCGAAATGTTGCTGACATATTCATACGGGGGAGAATCTCAAAGTGTTCAGCTACTAAACTTCATCGTGTTTACACAATAAACACGATGAAAACACAGAGATATCGGCAAGCCGAGGCTAACCCACCCAGGTGGTTCAGGTACCCGGCTGCTGACTCGGATTGAATCCCGGCTGCAGCAGCCACATTTCAATGGAGCTGGGCAAAATGTTATGGGCCCGCGTATAAATATAGATTTAGGTACGCTAGTTAGTTAAAATTTCCGGAACCCTCCACAAAAGCGTTCATCGTAATTGTATCGTCGTTTTCGGACATAAAACAGCAACAATTATTAAGCCGAGACAATGATCATGTATGTATTGACGCGTGTAACCTGGGATGTACGTTTCACGGCTCGTTCGCACGTTTGATTATTCGGGGCTTCAAAGAAACTGCACACAAGGTTGAATTCACAAAGCTTTTCATTCGCTTACCTTTAACCATGAGGCCTCACTAATGAAGCATGTTGATTCGCTGAAAATTAGCCTTACGCGGAATTATAGCGTATTTATATACTTTTGCGCTTACAAGAGTACTGCTGGGATATTCGCGAAGCTTTGCTTACAAGTGACATATACCATTGGTAATAATAAGTGATCTTTATCTAAAACTATAGCCTTTATCTTTCAGCTGTACCTACCATCCAGAAGGATAATAGGTATAGCTGATAAGTATAGCTGATTGCCGACTTTCGATTCGATTGATTGATTGATTTGTGCGGTTTAACATCCCAAAACCACCGTATGATTATGAGAGACGCCGTAGTGGAGGACTCCGGAAATTTCGACCACCTGGGGTTCTTTAACGTGCACCCAAATCTGAGCACACGGACCTACGACATTTCCGCCTCCATCGGAAATGCAGCCGCCACAACCGGGATTTGAACCCGCGACCTGCGGGTCAGCAGCCGAGTACCTTAGCCACTAGACCACCGCGGCGGGGCGACTTTCGATTCATGCGAAATGCAAAGAACACCCTTGAACGTGAATGCATTGAAGATCCGCAGATGCCAAAATTTATCTAGAGCCTGCCACTACCGTGTGCCTTGTAATTATACCCTGGGTTTGTCATGAAAACCTATAGAAATTAATTTTCTCAAACTAACTTCTATTGCAAGATGATCTCGTGAATATGGGTCTAGAGGCCGAGTCCATGGCGCGTTTCTTTTATGACTGCTTTTTGCCATTAATAGGCCGACTTTGATGATGATATGATCTAAACATCAGCGTTGAATGAAGCTTTATGAAAATTTGTTTACATACGTAGCAACTGTAACCGCGCTACTACTTCGTTTCCACTTATATTACTGGCCGCTATAGGGCTCGAGCATTGGCACCATCAACTTCCGAAGACATGTACCTGCTCACTCTTTCGATCGACGTATACATTTTTTTCTCCTAGGATTTCTTAAGTGAGTCTGGAAAGTGTGCAGTCCAAATGCTCGGCAAGTACGTTACGTAACTTTGTTGCCTACACAGTAAATTGCAATCGCTTCGAGGCCCGAAGGTTCACGGTTCCACAGCGGTCGCATTTTGATGGAGGCGAAACGCTATAGGGCCCATGTACTGTGGATGTCAGTGGATTTCAGTGCACATTAAAAATACCCTGTGGTCAAAATTTCTGGAGCCCTTCGCTACGGTGTCCCTTATAAACATAATGTGGTCTTGAGACGTAAAACCCCTAATGTTAATAGATTATTCGCAAAATCTGCGAAGGCTTGTTCAGTAAAAATATTCAAAACCATCTGTGCTCTAAATCTCCTGTCACAACTACATGGTGCATTTCAGTGGAGTGCACCAGTGCGTTCGACTGGCGCTTTCATCGATTGCAATTGCAAGCAGCGGTATGTGCGTGTCAAAATGAAGTCGGCTATTTGGTGTGATCTAGTTTACTGCGCAAATAAAGAATGAGTTAACGCGCCTCTCAGTGGTCGTTTTCTTAAAGTGAAGATTCTTTAACAAAAGTGCGCACGCACGCACATAAACACACACACACACACACACACACACACACAGCCACACGCACGTATACACGCGGGAGAGAGAGAACGACGGGGGAAGGAAATTACGGTAGCCAAAACAAGTGCCAGCGAAAATCATTGATTTACCAGAAATATACAGTAACAGCAGTTGCCTTGTTCATAGCTGCACAGCTGTGCCCAACCAATGACAAGAACGTGCACTGACAAAACCGACGACGGCACAGCGCCGGCGGCAACACAACAACGACGACGATGGTGACGACACTGTGTTAGCTGATGTCCTAGAAAATTAACAGCCACGGGAACGCTGAATATGAGTGCTGTGATGAACGCCACGTTCGAAACGATTCTTGATTCATTGATGATGTTTTTTTTTCGTTGAAATGCTTAGTGGAAACTTCAGGGACGGCCGACAAGAGAATGAGGCAAAACCAAGCGCGTGTGCGTGTCTGTCGTCCCTGAACTTTGCGATATAGCAGTTCACTTGAGTACCGACTAGAGCCCAAACAAGCACCTTGATATGTTGTTTTTCATACTCAGAACCACTTTGCAAGTCTGGACGTTTGGTCCATGCATTTTGTGATTTCGATGTGCTGCCAGATCGATCCAGTGGCACGGTGCTGACCAAAAGGTCGTGGGTTCGATACCGGCTGCGGCGGTCACCTTCCGATGGAGCCGAATTGATAGGCTAGAGGCCGGTGTACTGTGCAATGTCAGTGCTAGTTAAGGAGCACCAGATTGTCGAAGCTTCCACAGCCTTCCACTAAGCACGGTATTCCTCATAATCAAATCGTGGTCTTGGCATGTAAAAGTTCAGATATTATTAGTATTAGTGTGCTTTCATGAAATAAGTAGATTGTTAAATTATAAGATGGGCCTTTCAGCACTGAAAAAAACAAATGTACGAATGTTGCCTCTGCCATCAATTTAAAGAGTGTTAAACATCAAGGCTGAGTCGCGGCCACCATGTAATTGCGGTCACGGCTAATTCAAGCGTCATGTCATATCCAAATCGTGTGGGTGATCGCGTCCATGCGTGAGCATGAGCAAGTGTGTGTCCCAAAGAGAAACGCATATCTCTCTCTCTTTGTATCTACCACTGAACTTTAATTCAATCACGTGACAGTGACTGTATTCATTGTGCAGATATGGGCGCATCTGCGACGACCATTCGGCGTGGCTGTGGGAATGCTATGCCAGTTCGTGATGATGCCCCTGCTGGCGTTCGGCCTGTTGACATCTATGCGACTGAGCGGCCTGTTCGCCATCGGCATGCTCATCATGGCCTGTTGCCCCGGTGGAACTGTCTCCAACGTGTTCGCATATTTCGTCGATGGCGACGTCCCTCTCAGGTGAACGATGCTGCACAATGTCGAGTGACGGCGACTATCGTGTGCCGCCCGTATATACACCATGAGAAAGCATTCGCCGAGCTGCACGAGTAAAAAGTGCCAGGGTTAACCCGGTTTGACTACTTTGCGACACTGGCTACTGTTTTCAGGCCGTGGGCAGTCAATAAAACGTCTTGGCTACTTAGCTACCTTTTAGCGGCTCTCTTGTTCTGTTTGAACCAAAGTGTAAAAAGCTGTTGACGCCGCATACACTTATGTTCGACTATACCAATCTTGTTTCGGACTTCCGAAATTTATTGATATGTGGGGTTTAACGTCCAAAAACCACCATATGATCGTGAGAGACGCCGTAGTGGAGGACTCCAGAAATTTCGACCACCTGGGATTCTTCAACGTGCACCCAAATCTGAGGACACGGGGACCTTCCTAAATTGAATTTCGCACCGGCGTAACGCAAAAAGAAAAGGCTCTTGAGTGCATAGCTGGTATTCGGAAAAAACTGTTGCATGGCACCTCAGTTTGGAGACCATATATTGCTTAACGCGTCTTCAAACCGTAATTGGACGTGAACAGGACAATCAAAAGCGTTCTGCGCCCAGGGCGTTGCTCTCTTCAACATTGGAAATTGGATATCTGACAAAATGCTACTGTCATTTCTTAGGTCTTGCGACACAATTGAAACACAAGCTACAAACTGCTACAATGCGAGTAACTGTGATCACATTATGCAATACACATTATGCAATACTAACTTTTATTGTCATCATGATGGTTACTCAATTCCGGTCCTTTTCCAAATAATTATAAAATAAGCGTGAAAAGAGTGTCGCTTTTGCAACAGCGCACTCAACTTCATCTTGGTTCGAAGTGATCTCTAAATTCGAAATTTTGTTTGAATCTCCGTCATTTCAAAGGGTTATATAGTGGCGTAGCCAGAGGGTGGAAATCCTTCTTTTTCCTTTTTTTTCTTTTTTGTCATGGCATACAAAGCAAAAGCGACACTCGACCACAACTGCCTGCTCGGCCTCCACTTCCTAGAGCAAGGAAATGCCCCCCCCCTCCCCCCGTTTCCCCCCGGAAAAACTTTCTGGCTACGCCCCTGGTTTGTATGCTGTGCCCTACATTTGTTCATAAAGGCTTTGGCATTTAGTCAGGTAAATGAAAGCGTCCAAGTTTCTTTGGCACAACTGCGGCTACTTTTACCTTCATTTACTGTACCCTTGGCTCAAGCTCGTTGCTTTCCCGCTACCCTTTCTAATTTCCTAGCTATTTTTGGTGTTTAGGCTGGCCGACACTGAGAAGTACATTTAGTTTTAAGTACCTTATTAAGTATGTACTGATTTGTTGGGGTCTTCCGCTGTAGGTCAAAGCACTTCCAGCAGCGCCCAATATTCTTAATGATGTCAAGATTTCGTATATGTACTGTACTTCTCATCATCATCAGCAACAGTGGCCTGCTTTTCTTTCTTTTTTTGTCCACTGCAGAGTGAATACATCTTCCTATCATCTTCAATTGGCTCTGTTCTGCCTGATTTGGTTCCATATTAAGCCTGCAATTTTTTTTTTCTTCACCATTCCACATAAAACTCTGCCGTCCTCTGCAGCACTTTCCAATCCTTGGTGGTTAGTTTCTCGCAGCGATACTGTTGGCCACATTTTAATAGCATTATTTTTTTTTTCATTTAACCTATCACTAAAGGCGCAACCTATGTAAACCTCTTAGAAAACTAGAAACTGTCAAAATGATTCAGAGGTAAGGCCACACTAGATTCAGCAAACGCATCTTTCGTTTAAATACAGTGAGGAATGAGGCTTGTTCGGTATGTGCGGGGACAGTAGTCATGGAAAGGCGCTCCTTGGTTGTAAGTCGCGGTCGATCGCGCGACTTTGTTTAAAACAATCACCTGTGTGAAGGATTCCTAACGCCTGGCGTACTCCAAGCTTTCCCGTGATCGCCTTCTGCCATCCGGAGCTGCTATTTTCACTCCTCTTAACCTTCTTCTCCACCTCACTCACTACCCAATTAGAACAGGCGCATTCCTTTGGCCTGTGCCGTCTGAGTGCTCTTCACGCGGGGCGTCGACACTAACCGTGACAGCAGTCGAGTGTCGCGTTGAGCGTACCATCTTCATCGCCGGAGGTTGTTGCCACTCGTACGTCTGCGATTACAAGCCAGGTTTTCCGGTTGCAAAACACTGCATCAGGGCATTTCCCTCTTATAGCGGCCGCATGTTTAAGCAGCTTGCCGCACGAAGCAACAAGATTCACTTTTCGCGTGTCCTTCGCGGAGAACCACCATCTGTGTTACAAGCACAGCAAAACTACGCGTAACATCGTGTGACAAAAGGAATACGTTGCAGCCCATCAATTTACGCATGCGTCGTGTAAGACTAGCATATAAACTTACCATTTATTTATTTATTTATTTATTTATTTATTTATTTACTTATTTATTCAATATAACAGTTAAGTTGAGTAGTCGTGGTACAGACTACACATAATTGCATTCACAACAATCCATGCATAGCCAGAGACAGGAACAGTGGGAGCGAAAGTGAATATGCACTGTTGATGATGATACGATATGTGGAGTTTAACGTCCCAAGACTACGATATGATTATGAGAGATGCCGTAGTTGAAGGCTCCGGAAATTTTGATTACCTGGGGTTCTTTAACGTGCACCCAAATCTGAGCACAGGTCTGTTGGTACAGCAAAACGAAATTGAAGAAAAAACCAGCGCTTATAGAAACGAGGACAAGAAAGAACGGCACACGATGCGCTCATGTGTCGTTCTTTCTTGTCCTCGTCTCTTAAGCGCTGTTTCTTGTTACTTCCTTTCGTCATTCTGACTGCAAAGTAGACGCGTAGTGGATGCAACAACCAAGGCCTCTTTACTATACAGGCACTTTGTGTGCGTGTCTCTTGTCCGTCATCGTGTTTGCGCCTTTTACCTGGTATCATAAAAATACGAGTTTGTTTGTGCAATAACATCCCTCGTGTTTGCACATTAGTATTGTGATTGCACAATAGATACTTTAAAATTTAGGTCGCTACCCCTATAACGTCACATTGTGTTTTCGCAGAGTGACCAAGAAATGGGGTGTGGTCTTTGTTTTCCAGCGGTTGAAGTATTTTTTATTCCAGCGAAATAATGAATATGAAGCCTTGAAAAGTCTCAAGTATAATTTATTTCTTCGTCTCTTTCTCATGAATAAACAGCAAGCACTAGCCATAAACGAAGTCAGTATACTGTCGGCTGCAAGTTTGTCGGATCTGCATTGCGTGGTTAAGTTGCAGATTTATTCAATGGATGCTATGAGCACCTCTTTTACAAAGAGACGGTAACAAGTGGGCCACCAGGCATGTCGTGTAAAAAATATTTCATTTCTGTTTCACTTTTTTACTTCGCCTAGTGTATTTACTTCGGTTAAATATATACTATATAAAAACAAAAACAAAACTATATATAAACGAAAATATATACCATATAAAACGAAAGCCCAGTTCTCCGCTCATTACGGTCGAATGTCCTTATTTTCCGAACTACTAATTTTTGTCCTTTCTCTCTAGTTTTCCGCCACCAACTAAGAACTCCATAAAACGCTCCGTGTGCTGGAAACGCTGGTAAAAAAAATATGACTGTGCTTAACAGAGTGAACGCGGCACATGAGCTTGGCGCTCATGTTTCTTGATTAATTGTGGTGTCGGATCGCGTTGCTTCGTCAAAGGCGAAAGAGTGCAGTCCGCGGACCACCTCCTTCTCATCAGCATAAAGGATTTCGCTGACGAAACAGCAGAAATAGTTGCGCTGTGCGCGCAAACGTCTAACCTCTTCAGCGAACTGCATCAGATTTACTTCAAGCTGAAGAACCTGTCTAGTGAGCCCGAGATTGAAGAAGGCAACTGCTCATGTGTAGCGGGTCTCTCCGAAGGGTGCTAAAACTTTTGCGCTGCGTTGCTACACTGCTGTGCGCAAGGCCTTATCAGTTTTCGAGATAACTACGCTGCTACATCGTGCTGCCGAATACATGTATACCATTGAGTTCCGTTGTCCCGTCAAAGGCTGAATACGCATGTCTTTCACTTGGGCCAGAGTATCTTGAGAAACGGCAAATCGTAGTTTTGGTTGCAATATATAGGAGTGCCCATTTCTTTTATTTCGCTGAACCACATTAATTACTAGGTTCTTATCAATAGGCTCGTGTACTTGCAAACACTCGCTTGTTCGTGTTGGCGGTAGTTGATACTCAAACCAGATATATGCCCACACACTACAAATGCACGGACATGATATGATACGCACGAACATACATACACGCATGCGCGACCTTCACGCGTGCGTCTGTGTGCGTGTATATAAATACAAGCGAAACAAAAAAATGTTCGGGGAGAAAGATTACAGCCGCCTAATTTGAGAATGGGTAGCACAATGACTGGCACAAAAAACAAGCATGTGCGAAAAATACTATCACTAACGTACCGCAAGAAATTTTCGAAAGCGTTTGCTTATACATAAATGAAACTATACTCGGCGCTTGGAGAAGCGTGAATAATGATAACAATGCACACAAGCTAAATAATGGTGTACTTACCGAGGAGAATTAGGTCGTCACGAGCGAATTGATTAAAACGAACTACCGTAGTGTCCGTCTGTCACAGATCCCGTTAATTAGGGAGGCGATCGCTGGGATAATTCTGAGGGCCGAAGTATCGGCCTGCCAAACTGCACCACGGAAGCGCAGACAATTTAGAAGTGGTCCTATTTGGCGCGCCAGCAGACGCCGGCTGTGGCCCAGAGAACGAGTCAGAGCCGAGAGTTTATAAACAAAGCAAAATTATATTCTCAAATATGGCAGATCCAACGATACACAGAAATGCACACTCGACAATGGTTGAATACGATATGCCACCAATCAAACAACGTACTACAAAGTACAATCAGCTACACTCGAAACAACGGACACAAACAAATGCGTGCTGCAATGCAATCATATGCTT